TGATGTCCCCCTTTGAACCCAACAACTTATGTAAGGGTTATTTTCGGATTGGTGGCTCCCCTGACAAGATATTCAGGTGCATAATTTAAAATAAAACATCCTGTATAAATTTAAAATAAATGTTATTTAAAGAAAAAGGAGTAAATTTTGAAATATTTTGGAACACAAATATATATAATATATTAATGTAATAAGTTTGTTATTATTTTTATTTGCAGCAAAAGAGTTAAAACTAACCTTGGAATGAAAAATAACAAATAAAATAAGTTCCTTACATTATAAAAAGTATAACTTGCTTTTAAGCCAATTTTATGGTTCATTTTTTAGTTATTAATACGAAAAACGATTGTACGTATAAATTTCTTTAAAAAAATTTTTTTTTTAATTTGTATTATCTAGTTGCTACGTATATAGCTACAATATACAAATGTTGATAATATAAATATATTTTATATACAGGGTGCGCCGTTAGAATCCGGACAAAATTGAATTTGAAATTTCCGCTGTTAGAATTCAACTATAGGTGCCACTTGGCGTTAAGGTATACCAGATACGTGGGTGAGACATTCATAACCTCGAAATGGACGAGTGGTCAGGTTAAGCCCAGAATATAACCAGAGGATGGCGATTATTGAAAGTCTTCGCGTCGGAAGGATGCCAAGCGAAATAATAAGGTTCTTTGGGTACCCCAGGTCGACGGTGTACAATGTTACCCAGAGATACGCAGCCTCAAAGGAGTCCGAGGAGGGTTTCTCCACCCTGGCAAGAAAGATTCAAGTAAGGGAGAAGGCGACAAGGATTTCGGACTCCGGACTTCTGGCCTATCAATAGTTCCGACCTAAACCCTCTCGACTACTATGTGTGGGGCGTAGTCGAAAAGGTTACCAACAAGTCCAGACATTTCAACGTGGCTTCCTTCCAAACCGCCATCGAGGTGGCGTTGGCGGCCATGGACCGGGCCCAGTTGAAGACGTGCTCGCGCCCAGAGGCACACCCTGTTTATTTTATATATAATTTTACCTAATTATTTTATTTTTAAAAGTTTTTTTTGCAAAAGTTTATGAGTGGAATATATCGCGTTCGTACAAATTATCGATTAACAATGTCTTTTACATGTTATTATTTTGAAGTATTATTACTTTAGCATAATTTAGTGTTATTTCTTTCCTTTATTAACTTAGTAATGTAGAATTCTTTTTATATTATTTTAGTAATTCCTTTTATATTCAAATTGTAAAAATCAACATGCATACAGGGTGATTCAAAATAACCGTATGTCCTTAAAGAGACATATTCCTGAGCGTATTCTGACAACTTTTCCTTTGGCAAAAGTTTGTGCGGAGCTTAATTTTCAAATTATAAAAGAAAATAGTTAACGTATCGTGAATCGAGTACAAAAAACAAGCAGGGGCGTCGCAACTCACCGTTACACGCGGGTGTTTACGTGAGACGCCTGCTACAATCAGCTAACACTCTCCGTAAATAATTAAAATGTCACAATATTCTGCTGCGGTGTACTCCATGTTTTATAAAAGTTTTATAGCATTAGCGTAAAGTACGGTGCGAGTTATGCAAACAAATAATGTACTGAATAAAAAAAAATAATTATCATACTCGCGCCGCACTTCACGCTAATGCCATAAAACGTTTATAAAACATGGAGTACACCGCAGCAGAATATTGTGACATTTTAATTATTTACGGAAAGTGCGGTCAGAACGCTCTCCTTACCGCGAGAGAATATAACGCTCGTTTTCCGGAACGCAGACAGATTTATCCACATGTCATTTTGCGACTGTTGCATCACGCGCGAGAAACGGGCCGTTTAATTCCAGATAGACGTCTCAATGTCGTCACTAAACGTCGCGCTTGTACGGTAAACAACGAAGAGAGGATCTTGCATACGGTGAACGATGCTCCAAAAATACGCGAGATTAGCCGCGAGCTCGCGATCTCACGTAGCACTGTCCACCGCGTGCTACGTGATAATAGATTCCGCGCGTATATCATTTTACGCGAGTGCAACATTTGTTGCCAATAGATTTTGTTGCGAGACTGCGTTTTTGCACGTAGCTATTAGACCAAGAGCATGATCAATCTGGTTTTGCGCGTGAAATTTTATTCACAGATGAATCATATTTTACGCGCGATGATATATTCAACGTGCGAAATACACATTTATGGGCGGACGAAAATCCAAGAGAATACAGGATTCGTAACTTCCAACATTGGTTCAGCATAAATCTGTGGGCTGGTGTGCTGAACAACGCGATTGTAAGTACATTTTCATTGGTCGAGCGAAGTTTCGAGAATTCATCTTCTTACCTTTTTAGATCTGTCCGTTCGAACTGTCCGCGCGAATGACGGGTCAGTTGTATGCGCAATTTTTGCGAAACGACTTGCCGGGACTGCTAGAAGACGTGCCGCTGGAACAACGAAGACGTATGTTATTCCAGCCGTATGGAGCCCCGCCGCACACTTATAGAATGGCGCGTCAAGTGTTAGATGAAAATTTTGAAGATCGATGGATCGGACGCCTAGGTCCCGTGCATTGGCCAGCGAGATCTCCAGACCTGACCCCGTTAGATTATTTTCTCTGGGGTACGGTGAAAAGTTACGTATACCGTGAACGCGTCAACAATCGTGAAGAATTGAGAGACAAGATTGTTGAGGCATTCGCAAACGTAACACCGGAAATGGTGAACAACGCACAACGGAATCTGCTGCGACGGACAAGATTCTGCGTCGAATGCGATGGTGGCCAATTCGAACACCTATTGTAAAATAGGTACGACAACAACAATGTTATTTTGTACGATAAACGGTATGCTTACGGTAAACATGCGATAAGTATATGAGTTACTTTGTATTTTCAAATTTGTGCAGCGTAATCTGTTATCACGCAGTACACGGTGAACAGTGCTACGCGAGATAGCGACCTTGCGACTCATCTCTTGTACGCTCATTTCTGGAACATCGTTCACCGTATCCAAGATCCTCTCCTCGTTGTTCACCGTACAAGCGCGACGTTCCACGACGATATTGAGATGTTTATTTGGAATCAAACCGTTTCTTACGCGTGATACAGCAGTCGTAAGATGACGCTGTAAATTATTTGCGTTCCGGAAAATAAAAATTAAACTAATTGTAAATATTGTAAATATTAATGTATGTTATAATACTGTTATAATATTATACTTATAATATTAATGTAAATATTGTAAATATTAAAATTAAATAATTAATATTAATAAATAATTACTAATTAATAAAAATAAATAAGTTAAAATTAATAAAAAATAATTTAACTTTTAATAAAAATGTAAATTTTATTTTATTTTTTTTTTTAAACATTGTATCTTATATCGATTGCTCCGTATCGACCGGCGAGATCTTCGGATCTTCCTCCAGTTTTTCTGTGGAGTACTGTAAAACAGTGAACAGTGAATAATAAATAATCACGAGAAACGCGCTCGATCAAATCAATCGTTATACAATACACGAAGTTTTTTGATGTGTGACGTCCCTGAGCGCGCGAAAATTTAACACATCTATTGGTGAACTTTAACCTATCATAACTCGAAAACTAGGACACCCACGACATTTTGCAAGAAGAACTTTCGCCTCAGAATAACATCAGGAATCTACCCTCAAGAGGTTTGACGGTAGGTCTGGGACACCCTTTATATAAATATATATATATATTCTTCATTTACAAGTTTATGTAATTTATTTACAATGACTCCTGTGATTTAATTGTAATAAAAAATTTTTCCGAAAAATATCAGTTTAAAAGAACATCCTTTTCATATCCTGTGAAAGTCTTTGAGATGTCCCACACAATATCCTCGGGATGATTCAGAGAGATTAAAATGACTTATCATTTGTTCTTCTTCAAGACATCTGGAGGAGATCCTGGGATTAAAATAGGATATCCACAGGATATGTTTTATCCATATTGGATGTTTTTTGGATGTCCAGAAGACATTCATGTGCTATCTGGGTAGTATTATATGTATATTTTTGAATTATCATTTTGTCATATTTAGTTCATTTTTATTTGACACCTTGTACATGCCTATTTCGTCCCGCACATTATATTACAGTCTTGCAACGGAATTTCGGTCGAGAAAAGAAGCGCAAGTGTCGTTTGTTTACAAAACATTCGACACATATATACAGATCACATGTCAGTGTAGTAAATTACCAGTGCAAACAAATACATATACACGATATTACGCCGATAATATCAATCTCATTTTTAGTTCCATCGAAATGATGGCGCTTTTGCGTTTGGTTATCAGTCCAGCATCCCCTTAAAAAGCTAAAAAAACTTGCAACAGATTGATTGAAAAATTGAGCACTATATGCAGATCACGTTTTTCTTCTCGGGAGTCGCTTTCCTTCTATTTTAAACAATATGACATATGTCAAGTACTCGTTACGAACAGAAAAAAGTTTTCACCGTGATGTTTTCATACTATTTTATTCCGATCGGTTTGTTTCTGACACCTTAATAGAGCTTGTTTTTCTCTACGTTATACTTAATATCAAGGAAATAAATTACTACTTTCACCTATAGAATCAATTGGCATGTGTCAGTCGCTGACATGACACATGTTGTTTTGCGAAAATACATACATTGTAGTTTTATTCTGAGATGTGTCTGTAGCTTTAATTCGTCTTTCGTGTCGGAAGGTAAACAACCAGTTGTGCGAAAGTTTAAATTTAGTTGGCCAAAGAGTGACATAAATAATGGTCCTATGAAAACTATGGAGATCACCTGGCTTCATTATTATGATATTATATATAAAGTAGCATCGCTCACTGGTATGTGGCCATTTTTAAAATCGAGAATAAAAATATTTCGCGTTACTCTGCTGACTTTAATTACATTAACTGTTCTCGTCCCGCAGGTAAATTAATATACTGTAATCATTGAGAGAAATATATTGCAAAAATAGTAAAAAATAATATTTTCAGATAGCGTATCAACTTAGATGCCACAAAAGTGACATATCATGCATTTGTGAGTCGATGACATCATATCTACTTTCGGTCGTCATTTTGGTGAAGATTTACACATTTCAATTAAACATTCGCGCAGTATGTTTTGCAATTAAATACTTTAACACATTTAATTTTACAAATAGCAATTTAAATAAAAAAAAATTGTAATATAGTTAATTTAGTTTAGTTTTGTAAATATTTAGTTTTGTAAATTTCTAATTTAATTTTGTAAATAATTTTTTTATATTTTTATATTTTATAAACGCCATTAGTTAGCCAAATCGAAAAAAAGCAGTTCGCAATTATTTGATACTTTGTTAGATTAGAAGTTTCACCCAACGTTTATTCCTCGACTGGGAAGAATTAAAAAATCCCGAAGAGTACGAAATTATGAAGTCATATGCCACAAATAGTAGGCGATTCTCTTTGATATATTCAGGTAAAAGTGAAACTAACGAAAAATGATATCTTTATATATATACATTAATTTTATTATTTTTCATAAACTGCACATTGCAGTGTATTGCTTGTCGGCATCACCTATATTTATGTCAATGTCTCTTGTACCATTTGTACTCGATATCACATCGCCTCTCAATGAATCCCGTCCCACATTGCCACCATATCCGGGATATTACTTTGTGAACATTCGAGAATATTTTTTTCAAATTCTCTGGCACGCCATCATCGCCTGGGAAATCCTCATAGCTGGAATAGTTGCCCATGATTGCATGTTCGTAATGTATGTTGAGCACATTTGCAGCAAGTTTGCTGTGGTCGGGTAAGAAAATGATTTGTGATATAAAAGTCATATTAAAATAGGTCTTTATAATTTGATTGAGAAATGTCAGCAGACTCGATATCATGCATTGTTTGCAGATTCCGCTTTGAACATTTATTTTACAAGGATAAAGAAATGGAAATTTTTAAAATTAATTCTTATGACATATATCGCAAGAAAATTGCATTCATCGTACATAAACACCGTGAAGCTTTAAAGTAAGTGCATCGTCGAAAGAATATTCAAAGATACAAAGTTTAATTCACAATTAGTATCATATTTCTGCTCTTTAGGTTTGCGCAGCTTCTTGAAAATATTTTTACTATACCTTTCGCTATACAAATGTTAATAGCAACAATAGGAATAAGTATTACTTTGTTACAAGTGCGTATTTTTTGTTTTAAATTATGCACGATCTACAAAGAATAGAAATATTATATTTTTCGACCTGTAGGTCACACAACAGAATAGCGATGTCGTGAAATCAATAAGGTATGTGCTGTATATAGTGGGTCAATTGATCCATTTGTTCTTTCTCAGTTTTGAGGGACAAAAATTGATCGATCACAGTATGCAGATGCGCGACAGGATGTAAGAGACAATCACTTATAATTTATCTAAAAATATATATCTTTTAGGTAAATCACAATACATGTAACCAACATCCTAATTATCTAGATAATAGATTCTTATATCATTCACCTAAAAAATATATATACATTTTTCTATATGTGTTATTTTCGCAATTGGTTCGCGTATCTTTGAAACGTTGTAGATATAACAGCTGCTGGTACGAAGCATCCATGAGATCACAAAAACTACTCGTATTGATAATGTTGAAGAGTCTTCAACCTACTTTCTTGAGCGCCGGTACAATTTACATTTTCTCTTTAGAGAGCTTCACCATGGTAAAACACAGATTATCACAAGCTTATTTTAAAGATTTCTTAATAGCATACATTTTTGTTTTACAGGTCCTGCAAACTTCAATGTCATACTTTACGGTTCTCGCGTCCTTTCAGTAGCTCACGTTGTTCCTACATCTGGTTTATCCAATATATCTAATTTATCTAGTACATCATTAAATTTGATGATTCAAATAGTTTGTCTAAAATATTTAGTAGCTTATGAAGCCCTTTTGAACGTCAAATTATCATTGTTAATCATAGTTTTAACTTTTCTTTAATATAGCCACTAGTATCGTTAAGTTTTGAAGAAGAAGGATCTTTACAGAAAATCTCTACTTATTATTTAAAACCGCAACTATTTATAACGCACTTTATATCTTCATATCTGTTCTTTGAAAAAAAACAAAAAAAAATTAATTTGTACTAAATATGTTGAATACTTATGAATAATATATGAATATGTAATTCCTCTATTAGTTTAATTCGTATTTAGCGTGCTTTTAATACATATCATACATATACCGGTTATCCCAACTCCCGTAACAGCGGAAAGGGGCATATTCCTATGAAGAATAGATTCATAATACACAAAAATTAATGCTTAGGCTATAAAATTGTAGGAGTAATTAAAGGTTGAAAGTGACCAATAAGAGAGCATGAAACGTGACGCTTTTATTTTAGTAATTTAGTAAATTTAGTAAATGCTCCCCACACGGAACGTAATATCCAATGGACGTCCATATAATCTCCATAACTCCATACTACATCTATCTCTACGATGGATATTAGATAGGTTTCTATTAGAAATCCATATTATTTCCATGACAAATGACGATATAAATCCATCATAAATGTCTATTAGACATCTGTTATCGATGTTTGATAGAAGCATCAGTATCCTTAGTAACGAATATTGTTAGAGCATCGTCGATGTCAAACGTTTCGGCTGATCATTCATCCATTTTCAGTGCTAACGTTATAAATCTGTTTAGTAGAAAGATTGTGGTTTCAATTCGTCATTAATAAAATTATTTGGAAGTAAAGTCACAAATGTGATTGCGAGATAGTCTTGTTTATGTAGGTGTTAACAGAATATCACCATGTTCTCGACTGTCTCACAGTTCTCGACTGTCTCACAGTCGTGACATTCTGTTAACACCTACATAAACAAGACTATCTCGCAATCATATTTGTGACTTTACTTCCAAATAATTTTATTAATGACGAATTAAAACTACAATCCATCAAAGCTCTATGAAATATCTATGGAACATCTATGATTGCTCCATATGATATCTAAGAATATATTTAATGGATGTCGAATGGAGGTATGTAATGCGGAACTGTGGATGTCTAGTAGACATCTATAGGAGATTACATAGATATCTAATAGAGGTTTCGAATCTCCATGATGAACATTTAGTGGATATCCATTAGAGGTTTTTGTTCCGTGTGGGTCGTGACAAGTATTATCAAGTTCATGTTGCGTCGCTGTTGATTGTCGAATTTCCAGACGGTCAACTGTCATTCTCTCTGTATAAGGAGGCGATTTCGATATTTATTTTTATCAATATGACATTATCATAGAGTACACCGCAAAAGAATATTTTGAAATTTGAAACAATTATGTGCTATAACATTTGCTTTTATTTTTATAAAATTAAAAATTATTATTAATTGAGTGTGCTAACGCGAACCACTTAATTAACTGATCCTTAATATATAAGATTTTAACTCGTGCTGCGGGTTCAAATCATGTTCTGCAGCATCACACTCTTCGTAAACTATTAACATTTCAAAATATTCTTCTGCGGTGTACTCCATGATAATGTCATATTGATAAAAATAAATATCGAAATAAAATCGTTCTCTCCCTTAAAAAATCTATTTACAATTTTTGAAGTTATTTTAAGTAACTTTAAGTATTATAAAGTTATACTAATAATAATAATAATAATATTGTAACGGAGGGGCGTTCCTCTTTCGAAGCACCGCCCGCGGCACCCAGACATTGTCCATTGTGCCTCCCCTCATAAACTTACTTATGAGAGACCTGTTTTTCTCCAAAAGAGAATCAGATCCCTCACCGGCAGTTTTCTGATCTGCTCGAGCCCAAGTAGTGCTGAGCCCAGCATCTTGTGTCTCAACCCTGCCTGTGCAGGACAGTCGCTGAGCACATGAAGGCTTGTTTCCTCGTCGTCTCCACATGCCCTGCACTTGGATGTATCGCTACGCCCAAGCTTGTACATGTGGTAGTTTAAGGTGCCATGACCCGTCAGTATGTGTACCGCT